AAGGGAAGGGAAGGGAAGGGAAGGGAAGGGAAGGGAAGGGAAGGGAATATTTACCAACAAACCAAAAATAACACATTTTGGATTTAAGTTTTTCTTATTACAAATGCAATTGTTAAGAAACTCAGAATACTATTTTTATTTCCATAAAATGGAAATATTTTAATATTAATAATGTGAAAGAACACTTCTAACTTCAATTTTTCAGGTTTGTATGGCATAAAAACTAAAAAACCTTGGGGCAAAAATCTAACATTACTTCTTTTGATATGGGAATTAGAAAGGAATCTAAGGGTGTTATTATTAATTCTTTTAATATTTCAGGGGCCTAGAAAGCCTACTTAGGAACAAGTTTTCCTTTGTACCAAACAGTACAAGAACAGAAGAGAATAGACACTCTTAGACCATACCTATGCAACCCAGTCATGCCTGTCACAGACAGCTATGAAGTAGTACTGACCCAGACTTGTACATCTATAAAAGGCAATGAAGGTTTGTCTAGAAATACTTATTGAAATCCTGGAAGCATTAAATATTTCATTAGCATAGTCCTGTGCTTGAGCTAATAAACTCTGCCTCCCAGTATTTGAAAGCCAGCTATCACCTTTAAATTAATTCTTATTCATACACATAAAGTATGGCTGTATTAAAGGCTTTACTAAAACCAAAAGTAGTTTATTCCAGCTATCACCTTTATCCTGTTGGTATCTCTGCCAGTGAAAAAGGTGTTCTTGCTGCCACCTTCAGATGAGCCTCCTGCTACTGCGGTTTGTCAGTGACCAAATATCTACATGAGCCTGATGGGAGAGCGGTGGGATCAGCTGCACATGAGAACTGGGGAATATTGGAGCAGAATATAAAAAGAAAATAATATACAGCAAAACATTTCATCTTGTGCTTATGGAAGATTTTTAGCATATAATCTGAGTAATGCAGACTCTGCAGGCAGACTAGTCTGGGACAGATAAAAAATGCCTCTTTTCAGAGTATGTGGGAAATTCATACCCACAGGAAGTCAGAAAATGAAATACTTGTGGACAGATTTTAAAGGATCATAAAGTTTTATGAGTTATAAAAACTAAAACTAGGCCTTAGCTATTTAGTTCTGCTCAAATCTAAAATCAAAATAAGAATTTGGCTTGAATTATATTATAAATTCAAATAAATGGTAGAGTTAAATTTTGGATCTGGTTATTCAGAGTTCAATGAACAGACTCACAATAAACAACATACTTGAAAAAAATTTAAGCTATATGTGGCTAAAAAGGAGTAAGCAAATAGTCATTCTCCAAAGCTTAACTCACACCACACAGAAAGGATTCTTACCTTCTAACACCATCTGTAAAGAATTACCAAGGTAGCAGTGAATGCTACATGTCACATTGAATTCAGAAATCCATACTGAATATTCATATTGAATTTCAATAGAAATAAATTACTGGACAGAACCAGTGAGGGAAAATAGTTTTTTTCCACTGTCCTAACATTTTAAATTGTGCATGTTGGAAAAAATCCTTAATTTTACATTTACATTGTGAAGCTGTGGGGTTTTTTTGTATGTGCCAATGATAAAGTACATCAGAATGAATGTGCATAACTTAAGAAATAAATTGAGCCTTATCAAATCACAATACTGTATATATTTCTCAGTATCTTTGCTTCATAAGAAGCTCAGCTACAGTTTCCAGCACTTCTGATATTAAAATCTTTATAGAATGTGATAAAAGGCAAAATAAATGTCAGGAAAATAAAGAAAAGTATTTTTTTGTAATCTTACTATTACAGAACAATCACAGGCAGGAAAGTGCCATGTTGTGATTTTTAACCCCTAGATAAGGCCTCATTGGAGAAGAATATTGTTCATATGCAGAAATACTTCCTTAAAAGCTACAGAAAAAATTGTCATGTAAAGAGTTTAGCAGTGATAGATCTCATTTAAGTATGTAAGGCACAGCTGGTATCTGGCACACTCTAATTAAAAATATTCAGATGCTGTTCTGTTCTTGTCTCCTTTCTGACTATTGTCCTCATTGAAATTCATCTATATCTGT